AGAAGCCCTCCAAAGCTTTAGATGATCTTATAGTTTCATCTATGCTGAAGATCATGCCATCACCGCCCAAGCAGGGAGCTTTGAAATGATTGGACAGAAGCCCTCCAAAGTTTTAGGAGCTCTTATAGTTTCATCTATGCTGATGATCGTGCCGTCACCGCCCAAGCAAAGAACTTTGAAATGGTTGGATGGAAGGTCTCTGAAGCTTTAAATGCTCTCATAGTTTCATCTATGCTGACGATCGTGCCATCAACTGACTTATAAGCAATACTTGAATATCAAACAAAAACTGGGCACTAGAAACAATCTCATATGAAAACTGACTGGCACAACCTGCGGACTCAAAGATTTACGATTTGCATGAATTGAATCTGTATTTTTTTTTAACAAATTCTATTTTAAAGTCATTCCCTATTGTTGTGGTTCCGTTACAATGATCTGTCTGTCTGCAGACATAGGAAATGCTTGCACGAACTGTATCAGAAATAGGGCTGGGCTGGATGACCTCTGGAGCCCCCTTCCAAGTCTAGGATTTGGATTCAAGTGTAGATTTTCATGGATATCTGTCGGGAGGGTTCAAGTTGTGTCTTCCTGCAAAGCAGACGTTTTAAGGAGGGCAAAATCCAATCTTCCTGATGGTATCATATCTGTCTGCGCATTAGAGAGAAGATCAGCGAGGAGACTCCCCCAAAGAAGGCAATCTGCGCAATCCCACTCCCCTCGCTTTCTCCCCTGCTCTTATTATTCTCTCCTCTCCCTTGCTTCTTTCGTATTTTGGCTGGGTGTCAAGTTGTGTTCGATGTGAAATTAAACGGCCGCCCGCTGCACAAAATGAGTCGCTGGGCTTGGACTGAATCCAGCCGCGTTCCGGTGCCGCAAAGTGACATCTCCGCTGAATCACTCCCGCGACGGATTGCCAAGACGAAGCCCAGATGAATGTATTTTTAATGGCCAATTTCACTCTCGGAGTGAAGTCGAAGGCAGGGTCTCGCAAGGAGCCGGACCCCGGTTCTACGTACGGACAGATTCGAAAAGGGTTGGGAATGAGCAGAGATGGTCTCGGCAGGAACCTAAAAACCGTGCTGTATGTTGACTCTATTCTAAGGCGCCGTCGAATCTTGTGCGCAGCTCTGTTTCCCAAACTCTGAAACCTAAAAAAGGTATTTGCTGCCGAACGTCATGCGCAAAAAGCGGCCAAATTGCACACTTTGTCATCCGAATCCCTGCTTAGGATTCCTCCTTTGAAAACAAACATATTAGAGCAGGCATGAGCCAACTTGGGCCCTCCCTCCAGGTGTTTTGGACTTCCAATCCCACAATGTGGGTATGCAGATGACCCCTTGATGGACTGACATGTCCAGTTCCAAGAGGACAAAGGCATGGGCCAACTTGGGTTCTCCCTCCAGGTCTTTTGGACTTCCGATCCCACAATGTGGGTATGCAGATGATCCCTTGATTGACCAAAGTGTCCCGTTCCAAGATAGATAGGACAAAGGCATGGGCCAACTTTAGTCCTATCTCCAGGTGTTTTGGACTTCAACTCCCACAACATGGGTATGAAGATGATCCCTTGATTGACCGGTGTCCAGTTCCAAGAGGACAAAGGCATGGGCCAACTTGGGCCCACCGTCCAGAGGTTTTGGACTTCAGATCCCACAACATGGGTATGCAGATGACCCTTGATTGACAGATACAAAGGCATGGGGCAACTTGGGCCTCCTTCCAGTTGTTTTGGACTCCAACTCCCACAACATGGGTATGCAGATGACCCCTTGATGGACCGAAGTGTCCAGTTCCAAGAGGTCAAAGCCATGGGCCACCTTGAGCCCTCCCTCCAGGTGTTTTGGACTCCAACTCCCACAATGTGGGTATGCAGATGACCCCTTGATTGACTGACATGTCCACTTCCAAGAGGGCTAAGGTATGGGCCAACTTTGGTCCTACCTCCAGGTGTTTTGGACTTCCGATCCCACAATGTGGGTATACAGATGATCCCTTGATTGACCGAAGTGTCCAGTTCCAAGAGGACAAAGGCATGTGCCAACTTGGGCCCTCCCTCCAAGGGTGTTGGACTTCAGAGGGACTTCAGATCCCACAACATGGGTATGCAGATGACCCCTTGATGGACTGGAGTGTCGAGTTCCATGAGGACAAAGGCATGGGCCAAGTGGGGCCTTCCCTGCAGGTGTTTTGGACTTCAACTCCCACAACGTGGGTATGCAGACGATCCCTTGATTGACTGACATGTCCAGTTCCAAGAGGACAAAGGCATGGGCCAACTTTGGTCTTCCATCCAAGTGTTTTGGACTTCCATCCCACAACATGGGTATGCACATGACCCTTGATTGACCGGTGTCCAGTTCCAAGAGGACAAAGCCATAGACCAACTTGGGCCCTCACTCCAGGTGTTTTGGACTTCTTTCTCACACAACGTGGGTATGCAGATGATCCCTTGATTGATCAAAGTGTCCAATTCCAAGAGGCAAGGGCCAACTTCGACCCTCTCCAAACACCAACCACCCAAGGAATGTTTTCATTCGGAAAACATTTCATCCTAGATTTGAAATGTTTCCTCCACTTAGGCAGGCATCCCAGGGCTCCTTTCTCTCTCCATTGGTGTGAAATTTGCATGGAAACCCCCCTCCCCACCCACTGCCTCTCCCTTAACCCTTTCCCACTCTTTTCAACTCCATCTGTATAACAAACAGAGCAGCAACTGAACATACTGGAAGAGTTTGTGGGATTGACTCCACATGACGGAAAGTGTAGTTCACCCTGCATCAAGTTGGAGCACTGTGACCCCCACTGACAATGGACCTGGACCATATTTGGAACCTCCACAGCAAACGATAAATACTGGAGAAGTTTGGAGAAATTTACCTTGATTTATAACCATTGTAGGTACTGGGATTTATAGTTCACCTGCAATCCAAGAGCACTCCGGACTCCACCAATGATGGCCCTAGGCCTAAATTAGCACAGAGAACCCCCCCTCCATGACCAACACAAAGTGTAGGAGGCCTTTGGGGAAAATTCACCTTGGTTTATCGGGAATTATAGTTCACCTACACCCAGATTGCACTATGAATGCAAACAACAATGGATCGGCACCAAATTTGGCACGCATGCCCAATATGCCCAAATTTGAATTCTGCTGGATTTGGGGTGGAATTGGCTTTGATGTTTGGGAGTTGTAGGTCCTGGGATGTCTAGTTCACCTGCAATCAGAGCACTCCGAACCCCACCGATGATGGACCTGGACCAAACTTGGCAGAGAGAACCTTCACGATCCAAACCTTCCAGCCAATGCTCCAAGAGAAGCCCATGGAAGAGGGTTTGGAGAGAGCTCACCGACTGCAATCTTCTCCTTCTTCTTCAGGGAGAATGGGACATGCCAAACTTCTTGCAAAGATGAGGAGGGGTCCCCTTTGATCCGCCAAGCTTGGGTGTGGGACTACTCTCCCCATAAAGGAGAAGCCCTTCCCAAAGCTAGGCTGGGAGGAAAAGGAGAGGGATGGACAGCTCCTGCTTGAGCCCTTGCACGCTTGGCCTGGCATTCTTGCCCATTCCACAACATCTCCCCCTCCCCAAAAAAGACATAAGCCCCCACTAAGCATCGCCTTGGGCCTCTCAACACAGAGCACTCCCACTTCCATGGCCCACTCCTTCCTGAAAGTTGGCTCTCCATGGGGGAGCCCCTCTCCCCACATTCCAGAGAGGGAAGGGCAAGGAGTGTGGAGGGGAGGGGGCTTCTCTTGGGGGACTGGAGTTCCCCTCCTTACCCACCTTCTCCCCTCACATTCTTCCTCTACTTTGCGCCTTCCTTCCTTCCTTCCCCCTTTCTTCGATCACTCCTTCCTTCCTTCCTTCTCCTTCACTCCTTCCTTCCTTCACGTCTTCCTTCACTATTTCTTTCCTTCCCCCCTTTCTTCCATCGTTCCTTCCTTCCTTCTGTCACTCCTTCCTTTCCTCGTTTCTTCTTTCCTCCCTTTCTTCCATTGCTCCTTCCTTCTTTCGCTCCTTCCCCCTTTCTTCCGTCACTCCTTCCTTCCTTCACTATTTCCTTCCTTCCCCCCTTTCTTCCATCGCTCCTTCCTTCCTTCCTTCCCTCCTTCCTTTCCCCTTCTTTCCTCCTTCCTTCTTTCCCCCTTTCTTCTGTTGCTCCTTCCTTCCTTCACTATTTCCTTCCTTCCCCTCTTCCTTCGATCGCTCCTTCCTTCCCTCGATCGCCCTTCTTCCTTCTTTACTCTCCTTTCCTCTTTCTTCTTCCCCCTTTCTTTCCATTGCTCCTTCCTTTCTCCTTCCTTCCTTCTCTTCCTCCCTTTTGTATTTCCTTCCTCCCCTCTTTCGTCACTCCTTCCCTGTCCCCTCTTTCTCCTTCTCCTTCCCTTCTTTCCCTTTCTTCCTTCCTTCCTTCCTTCCCTCTTCCTTTCCTTTTGTGCTTCCTTTTGTGCTTCCTTCCTCCCCTCTTTCGTCACTCCTTCCCTGTCTCCCTCTTTCTCCTTCCATCCTTCCCTTCTTTTCTTTTGTCCTTCCTTCTTCCTTCCTTCCCTCTTCCCTTCCTTCCACCCTCCCTTTTGTGCTTCCTTCCTCCCCTTTCTTTCCCTGTCTCCCTCTAATTCTCCTTATACTTTGTCCATTCTTCCTGTGACTTCTATCATTCATCAACCACATTAAGGTCAAAACCGTACTTCATGCTCATGCATCCTTCCTTCCTGAATCCACCCTTCTGCCTTCTCCCTTCCTTCAGTCCCCAAAAACACTTCCATCCTTCCTTCCATTGCTGCTTACTATCAAGTTTGCCTTTAATAGATCAGTATTACTATCATTTTACTATTCTCCTCTCCTTGCGCTTCCCCTCTTTCCTGGGTTTTTTCCCCCCCCAAAAAACAATCCCTATACTGTCTCTTCCTTCCACCCCTCTTCTCACCTCTATCTTTAAGAGCAGTATGACGTCTTCACCTTAGCTCCCCCTCCCCTCGCCCTCTCCCTCTCTCGACTTCTCTTCCTTCCTTGCCCCCCTCTTTTCTCCCGCACCTCCCTCTCCCTCTCTTCACTTTTCCTTCTCCCCTCCCTCCCTCCTTCCTTTCTCCCCCTCCCCTCCTCCTCCCCAGAGCGAAAGCAGAAGGAAAGAGAGAGCGAAGGAGGAAGAAGAGAAGGAGGAGGAGGAGGGCAAAGCTTGGCCAGCCTCTTGCGGACCCCCCCCCCCCCTTTTTCCTTCCTTCCCTTCAACAAACAGAGGCAGGGAGGTCTGCCTGGGGGTCTCCCTTTTGTTTCTAAAGGGAGGGAGGGAAGGAGGGAAGGAGAGAAGAAAGGAGGGGGGTCTCCCCATCAGCCAGCCCCTCCTCTCCTCCTCCATCCTTCCCTCTCAGGAGGGTCTCTTCCCCCCTCCTTCCTTCCCTCTCTGACAGAAGAACAGGAGCAGCAACAGAAGGAAAAGAGCTTCCAGAGGGGGGTCTTGGTTGCCCCCCCCCCCGGCCCTGAAGATGGTCAACGAGCGCTGGAAGAATGTGGGGGGCTCGGCTCCGCTGGAGGATGGACCCCAAGAGAAGTCCCAGGTGGGAGGCATCAAGGGGTGAGGAGGGGGCCTTTGGGTGAGGAACAGTATCCAGGAGGGGGGTGACAAAGGGGGGGGTCCCTATCTATTCCTTATCTCCATTGAGTAGATAGGACCCTCCTTCCAGGATATAGGAGAGGGAGATGCCCCCAAACTTTTCCCCTTCCTGTAGGGACCCTTACCTTCAATGGTGCCCCATCCTCACATTTGGGGGTCTCTCTCCACTCTTTTTCTTCTTCTTCTTCTTCCAGTCCATCTTTCCTTCCTTCTTTCACTCCTTCAACGTCCCTTCTTCCTTCTTCATTTCCCCCCCTAAAATAATAATATAGCATTGAATTCCACATTAATAATAATTATAATAATAATTGAACGTTGAACTCTATGACATGACATCCTCTCATCGCAAAGCATGAATTAATCATCGCTCGTCCGCTAATGTTGACTCAACAACTTCTTTTCAATCTCAGTCTTTTTTCCTTCCTTCCTCCTGCCTTCCTTTGCTCCTTCCTTCCTTTGCTCCTTCACTCCTTCTTTCCTTGTTTCATTCCTTTCTTCCTTTTAGCACTCCTTCCTTCCTTCGCTTCCTCCTTCCTCCTTTCACTCCTTCCTTTGGTCCTTCTTTCCTTCGCTTCTTCCTTCCTTTGCTCCTTCCTTCCTTCTTTCGCTCCTTCCTTCCTTCCCCCTTCCTTCCTTCGCTCCTTCCTTCCTTCTTTCGCTCCTTCCTTCCTTCCTTCCCTTCCTTTTCCTTCCTTCCTCTCCTCCCTTCCTTTCCTCTTTCCTTCTTTCCCTTCCTCTCTCTTCCTTCCTTCCCCTTTCTCCTTCACTCTTCCTTCCTTCTCCTTCTTCTTTTTCATTCCCCCTTCTCTGTCGTAGCTTTCCCACCATGCCGTACCTCCTTCTTTTCGCTCTCCTTCCTTGCTCTTTTCCTTCTTTCTCCTTCTTTTTCCTTCTCCTTCCTTCTTTCACTCCTTCCTTCCTCTCCTTCCTTCCTTCACTCTTTCCTTCCTTCCTTCTTTCGCTCCTTCCTTCCTTCCCCCTTCCTTCACTCCTTCATTCCTTCACTCCTTCCTCAGTCTTTTCTCATCCGTCAAACTAATAGGCTTTCCAATCTGTTGTCGAAGGCTTTCATGGCTTGCTGTGATCTTTCCGGCTGTCTGGGCATGTTCCAGAAGCATTCTCTCCTGACGTTTCACCCACATCTATGGCAGGCATCCTCAGAGGCTGTGAGGTCTGTTGGGATAATGTCCAGGATGGGGGAAAGAAAGAACTCTTGTCTGCTGGAGGCAAGTGTGCCGGTTTCAATTGGCCACCTTGATTAGCATTGAATAGCCTTGCAGCTGCAAAGTCAATCAGTGAGGGTATCTGCATCGAGGTCTGTTGGAAACAAGGCAAGTAGGGTGTATTTACATCTGTGGAATGTTTTTAAAAACTCTAAATTCAGGGCAGTAAATAAAGAGTTGATCCGCATCGAATAGCCTTGCAGCTTCAAGGTCTGGCAGCGTCCTGCCTGGGGGAATCCGTTGTTGGGAGCTGTTAGGAGGCCCTGATTGTTTCATGTCTGGAATTCTCTGGTTTTGAGTGTTAGGCCAGCTTACACCTCCCAACAAAGGATTCCCCCAGGCAGGAATCAGCCAGGCTTTGAAGTTGCAAGGCAGTACAATACAATACAAAACTTTATTATGGTCACTGGCCAGCACAAAGGAAGGATGTGTCTTTTTTTTTTAAAAAAAAACAAACATTACAACTGTATTCTCGGCTCGCTTCTGATACGATAAATAATACCTCCCAACAAAGGACTGCCCCCAGTAGGATCAGCTATGCTTTGAAGGTGCAAGGCTATTCAATGTTAATCAAGCTGGCCAATGGCAGCCCAAGCAGACAAGAGTTTTTTTCCCACCCTGGACATTATTCTACAGTGATATAAACCTCACTTGCTTCGTTTCCAAGGGACCGCACAACCTCTGAGGATGCCTAGCTGCTTACTGACCAAGGGAATCCTTTGTTGGGAGGTGTAAATAAAGAACAATAAAAAAAACAGGGGAATTCCAGACAGGAAACAATCAGGGACAGCTAACACCTCCCAACAAAGGATTCCCCCAGGCAGGAAGCAGCCAGGCTTTGATGGTTAGATGGTCATCTGTTGGGAAGGATTGGATGGTGTATTCATGCATGGAAGGCGGTTGGAATGAGACCTTTGGGGTCTCTTCCAAATCTATGATTGTATGAGAGATAGAGTATATAGTCTATTATCTGTCTTGTATATTCATGGCTGGATGGCCATCTGTTGGGAGGGATCGCATGGTGTATTAAATGCATGGAAGGGGGTTGGACTATCTATCTATCTATTAATCTATCTATCTATAGATAGTCCATTAAATGCCTGAAAGGGGGTATCTATTTATCTATTATATTGATGACTAGATGGCCATCTGTTAAGAAGGATCAGATGGTGTATTCATGCATGGAAGGGGGTTGGACTGAATGACCTTTGGGTCTCTTCCAAATCTATGATTCTTTGATAAATATATAATAGAATATAATCTATCTATCTATATCTAGTTGATCTCTCTATCATATCGATGGCTAGATGGCCATCTGTTGGGACGGATCGGATGGTGTATTTATGCATGGAAGGGGGTTGGAATGGATGACCTTTGGGGTCTTTTCCAAATATATGATTGCATGAGAGGTATAATAGAATATAGTCTAGCTGTCTATCATATTGAGAGATATAATAGAATATAGTCAATCTATCTGTCATATTGATGGCTAGATGGCCATCTGTTGGGAAGGATCGGATGGTGTATTCATGCATGGAAGGGGGTTGGAATGGATGACCTTTGGGGTCTCTCCCAGATCTATGATTCTATGAGAGGTATAATAGAATATAGTCTATAAATCTATTATATTGAGAGATATAATTGAATATAGTGGATCTCTCTATCATATCGATTGCTAGATGGCCATCTGTTGGGAAGGATCGGATGGTGTATTCATGCATGGAAGGGCGTTGGAACGGATGACCTTTGGGGTGTCTTCCAAATCTATGATTGTAAGAGAGATATAATCAAATATAGTCGCTCTATCTATTTATCATATTGATGGCTAGATGGCCATCTGTTGGGAAGGATCGGATGGTGTATTCATGCATGGAAGGGGGTTGGAATGGATGACCTTTGGGGTCTCTTCCAAACTGATGATTGTAAGAGAGATATAGTAGAATATAGTCTATCTATCTATCATATTGAGAGATATAATTGAATATAGTCGATCTCTCTATCATATCGATTGCTAGATGGCCATCTGTTGGGAAGGATCGGATGGTGTATTCATGCATGGAAGGGGGTTGGAACGGATGACCTTTGGGGTGTCTTCCAGATCTATGATTCTATGAGAGGTATAATATATATATATATATATATATATCATATTGAGATATATAATTGAATATAGTCAATCTCTCTATCATATTGATGGCTAAATGGCCATCTGTTGGGAAGGATCAGATGGTGTATTCATGCATGGAAGGGGGTTGGAACAGATGACCTTTGGGATGTCTTCCAAATCTATGATTGTAAGAGAGATATAATCAAATATAGTCGCTCTATCTATTTATCATATTGATGATTAGATGGCCATCTGTTGGGAAGGATCGGATGGTGCATTCATACATGAATACAGGGGGTTGGAATGGATGATCTTTGGGGTGTCTTCCAAATCTATGATTGTATGAGAGGTATAATAGAATATAGTCTATCTATCTCTCATATTGAGAGATATAATAGAATATAGTCAATCTCTCTATCATATTTATGGCTAGATGGCCATCTGTTGGGAAGGATCGGATGGTGTATTCATGCATGGAAGGGGGGTGGAACGGATGACCTTTGGGGTCTCTTCCAAATCTATGATTGTAAGAGAGAAAGATAATAAAAATACAATCAAAAGTCCAGAGAAGGCTTCCAGCCTCATATATATTCTGGCTTCATCTAGATCTATATATCCCAATATTTCCTTCTATATATCTCTATATACCACGACATCTATTATTCTCCATATACACCTATCTCTACCTCTATCTATCTCTTTCTTTCTCTATTTCCTTCTCTCCATCCCTATCTCTCTCTCTCATCTATTTATCACAATAGATCTCGCTATCTAATTCTCTCTCAATGCCTCTATATCTATTTCTCTCTCTATAGCTATTTATTGCCATATATCTCTATCTCGTTCTCTATATTGTTGCGGAGAGGCTGGAAATAGAGCGAGGGGAAAACGGTAGGAAAGACTGTGGTTGTGAAATCAATCGATGGGTAAATTGTTTTGTCGGGTTGGGAAGCAAGTTCCTTTCCAAACCCCCAAAAGGCAATTCGGATGCAAATAAAAGGAGAAATCCATTTTTCTATAGGATTGTTGGAGAAGACATTGGCACACGCTTGTGCAAAAGGCACACTTCTCCGTTTCCTTAGCATCTTGCTTAGCATTTAAGATGGTTTATTTATTTATTTATTTATTTACTTTGCTTCTATACCGCTGTATCTCAAGCCCGAAGGTGACTCACGGCGGTTCACAAACAGTAAAAACAGTAGAAACAGCAGTGGTTCCATACAACATATAACAATTGACTTAACACATTATCCATAAATTACCAATAAGCAATTACAATGCACAATTATTACAAAAAACAACTGTACCCAATCTTCTCATCATCCAAGCGTAGTCCAGGTTCGTCGTCCATTGTTCCATTCCTATGTTCCATTACCAGATTGCACTAAATTACTCAAACGCCTGCACAAACATCCAGGTCTTCAACTTTTTGCGGAATACCATTAGAGATGGTGCTAGTCTAATGTCCGTAGGAAGGGCGTTCCACAGCCGAGGAGCCACCACCGAGAAGGCCCTATCTCTCGTCCCCGCCAGCCGAGCTTGAGAAGCAGTCGGGATCGAGAGCAGGGCCTCCCCGGAAGATCTCAAAGTCCTGGTGGGTTCATAGGCAGAGAT